ACAGAGACAGAGAGAGACAGAGACAGAGACAGAGAGAGAGACAGACACAGAGACACAGAGAGACAGAGACAGACAGACAGACAGAGAGACAGAGAGAGTATATATGCACATATGCACATATGTGTAGAAGGCAGAGGCCAACCTCGGAAGCTTTCCATCTTGGTTTTCGAGACACGGTCTCTCACTGGGACCCGAGGCTCAGTGAATAGGACAAGGCTAATTTGCCTGTTTCCCCAGCACTAGAGATACATGTGCTTGGTCCCTATACTGCTCCCAGAATCCAGATCTTCACTCACCATTGCACAGCAAGCACTTTATTGACTGCATCATCTCTCCAGGCAGCTAGATGCTTTATGACTCTCTAACTCGGCTCCTTCCTGGGAAAGCAGCCATAGTGGCAACCACACTGTTTCCCTTTGGATTGGTGTGGACATTGAAAAGACCAGGTATGGACAGGGCCTAGATCAATCTCTGAACCGTACTAGGTCCTCCACAAAAATGAGATCCACAGTAAGTAACACAGTATTTTCATGACTGTAAATACATCTGGATGAGTAAGACCTGCCTTGATGTGGCCAAAGGGCGTAATGATTAACTGAACCCAAGACTCCAGCCTACCATATGGAAAACAAGCACGTTTGCACATTCATATTGCAACAACTATCCCAGGAATGCTCTCTTCTTCCTTAAGGTCTGGGGAGTTTACCATTTGTAAAGATATGATCAGCTTCCGCTGTAGCTGCACCAACTATCCCAAGAACAGCTAGTTCTCTTGTTCCTGGGGGAGTTTTAACCAGCATCCAGAAGCAGGTTGGGCCGGTTTGCCAGCTTGTGACCAGCAGACACCTGTAACTTTGTTGCCTGGGCACCTGCAGAGCCAGTCCTCCAGATATCAGGTGCCCCTGGAAGGGAATAGGAGGACAGCAAGCTGACCATAAAAGCAACCTAACAAATGCCAAGTCACAGAGACAGGCCCCGGGGTTCTAGGGAGCAGACATCTGAGGTTAACAGTAACAGAGAAACATCATGTGGTCAGTGGGACAGGCATGGAGGTTCAGCCTCCTTGCTCTTTCTCATCCTTTCCTCCCCTCTTTCCTCCCGACTGGGAGGAGGCTTGTTATGCAAGGGGAGGCCCAGATTGCAATGAGAGAAGGGAAAAGCTCTAGGATAGGGGTAGGCTGAGGTACCCTCTCTTCCTGCTGGCAAGCAGAAGGTGCTACGTGGGCAAAGACATTTTGGGGTCTCTCAGACTATGAGAGACAAAAGCTTGTCAAGCATCTGCTCCTGTGATTGAGACCTGGAGACCCCTGGCTACCAGCTGGCATAGGCCCCTGCTCTAAGCCCCACTGCCGTTCTACTACCCTAGCTGCTATGACACTTTCTAAGGGGCCATTAAGACCTCTCCAAGGCCCATCAACAACAAGGATGTATATCGCTCTCCAAAGGAGCCTTCCAGGACAGTGTGGTCTCAATTCGTCTGAGCTGGTTGTGAAATGTTCCCAAGACTGGCTCCATCAGAGGCAGTCCCCAGTCCCAAAGATAGTTTACCAAATGAATTCTCTCTGGGAGGTGGTGGCAGGCCAGGCAGACAGCGGAATCCAGAGACAACTACCTGGGCTATTTGTGAAACCATAGAGCTGGCACCTGTCTATCTTCAGGACCTGTCTATCTTCTCTTACAACACAGAGCTAACAGTATGGGAAGTGGCCAAGCCACAAATGCTAATGGTTCTGTGGCTTTCTCTAGTTCATGCCTCCTGCACTTTAACTTGTTTTTTTTTTTTTTGTTTGTTTTTGTTTTTTTTTTTTTTCTGGACACACATTTCTTCCAAATCTTTGAGCCCAGTAACAGCCACTGTCCAGCCCCATTCCTATGCCCATCGCATCTATCACAAGACGGATGCTGACTTCCAAGAGCCGGTTCAGTTGAAGCCAAGATGTTGGGCTGCTGTCTCTAACTAGAGCAAAAGCAAGTGAGCCGGGAGCTGCCTGCATCACAACTTCAGTAGGGAGATTGTGAAAACCACCCACAGCCAAGGCGAGGGCAGCCAACTTGGCCATTCCTGGCCCAGCCCACCATCTCCCTTCCCCCTGCTGAAGACTGCAGGCCCTCTGTGTTCTACTGTGAACTGGGGCACTGTCACTACTCCACCAACAAAGCCTCCAAAGGCTCCAGCTGGACATCAACAACGGACTTTCATTCCGTTTCCCCTCTAGTAGTGATCAAGCTGCTCACTGTATAAGGACTTGTTAGAAAGTAAAAACAATGTCCGGTGCCCGTGTTGGGTAAGTCAGAGTGAGAATTAATGATTAACGAGGGGGACCGACGCTCCAACCTCCACACACCTGCACACCCCAGCACACTCTCCTCTACAGCACATCTTTAAGAACGGGCAGAGCATCTACCAGCCTGTGCACCACTGCCCACTGTGGTTAACACACTGAAGACAGCATAACTGGTGCAACTGCCCCGAAGCCATGATATTAACAGTCGCTACCTCTGTGTTGTTAGCAGGAAGCCCGCTGGATTGCACACACCTGGTTGAGAAAGTCACTCAACTAGGTAACCCCAGAGCCCCAGTGGGAGACAGAATACATACCCACCAGGACCCTGGGAGACAAGAGGCCCATAGAACAGGTAAGCCTCCTCTGAAACAGGGAACAGGAACAGTGACTTCACCAGGCCAAGGCTGCCACAAATATTCTCTGGCCTGAATAACACCAACAAACAGGGCTTCATCCAGGAGGAACAGAATGGCAAGAGAGCAGCTGTCTGGCTGTACCCAGCCCCAACCCATTTCTAACAGCAAGGCAAATCCTGGATTCAGGTGGGGAAGGGACAGGGTGACTGAGCTGGCAAGGAGCCAGAAGAAAAACACCAGACCCCTCTCATGCCAGCCAGCTGGGTATCATCTCTGAACCTCAGGATTAAGCAGGAATAGACAGCAGAGGTTAAAAGGTACATACGCACACACATAATTTTAGTTTTCTCATCAATTCAGCCCATTTTTTTTCTTTAATTGTTAGGTTTGCTTTTAAATGAATGCTTCCAATGGGAAATTAATTCTGGTACCAAAAAAAAAAAAAAAAAGTCATGTGAATCTCTGAAAAGACAGTAGAATCCTATCCTAGTTGTAGTGAAAAGAGAACTCTTGATCCCTCATTCTTAAGAAAATCCTATGTTAAGTACACCTCTCAACTCTGCTACCACCACTGTGCCAGGGGTGTCAATGGCGTTGGAGGGAACTCACAGAAAGGGTGGACCCCATGATGACCAAGGAAGAGAAGCAGGTGCCACCAAGGAGGAGGCCCCTAGAATCCACTCAGTGGGTTCTGAGGGAACTTACTTGGGTGTGCCAGTGGGTTTCCAGTACCTACAAAAGAGGTACTGTCCGTCTGCGTTGACCAGGTGAGGCAGGTCCTGGTAGGGGACATTCTGGGGAGTTCGCCTGGGAGAACTTGCCTCAGGCATCCTGTTGAGGTCTTCTGGCCCTTGGAAGAAAGGTGGACATATTCTAAAGTCAGAAATTCACTCATGTCCACTGGGGAGGAAAGAAAGCCTTATTCAGGGTCAGGACAGTGGCTTTTTTTTTTCCTACTTGTCCTTAAGTCCTTTTTTTAAGTGCCTCATTACAGCCCCCTCCCATCTGTGTTTATTTCAAATCTCAGGAAACTTCATCTTAAAGACTGTTTTAGCTGTAATCAAGGGGAAATTACACTCAGTTCCGTGGGGTATAAAGCCCCAGCTGCAGGAACCCATCTCTCCTAAAATCTCCACTGAGTGGATTCTAGGGGCCATAATAAGTAAGTGACAAGCCCCCAGCGATTTCTCCCTTCTGAATGCCAAAGATGCCATGACAAACCTGTTTCCATTCCGTCCTGGCTTTTGCATTCCACTACCGCCACAGCCTCGAGTATCAGCGCCAGGCAAACGAGGGCTGTTCCCTCATCGCGGCCGCAGGGCAGCACCGCGGGGTCTGCGCCCTCCCCGCCTGGGCTGCAGGGGTGCGGGGGGCCCCCTCCTGCCGCTCCAGCTCTAGCTCATGTCACCACTTTTCCAGAACACACCCCTGAAGGGGTTCCGGGAGCGAGGGATAACCGGTCCCCAGCCCGGAGCTGCTGCGAGACGCGCTCCGCGGCACCGCGCATTCGCGCAGATGCGGGTCCCCGAGCAAAGTCACCCCGATTCTCCGACAAACTTTGCCTCCTGCCCGCCCGCGACTGCTTGGGGAAAGAAGCCCCACGGCTGTCATCGGCATGCCACACACAGCGAGGACTTGGCCGGTGTCCCCACACCGGGCTGGAAAGATGCAGTTGACGGCACAAGTCGGTTTGGGGGTTGGTGCGAGGGCGCGAGGGGCGCGCTCACGCTGACACGCGCGCACACTCGTGCGCACGCACACGCGCGCAG